GGTGGGGATCTCCCCGAGCTCCGGCGTCACATCTACGGCGACACGGTGGAATTCTGGGCCATCAAGCAGTTGGTGCTGGAGGTTTTTGCTCCTTGCAAGTGCCGACAGATTTATGGGAGGGAGAGGGGGGACAGCCAGGTGAGGAGAGGAGGGAGGGGTGGATGGATCAAAGTGGGGGATTTGATTGGAAAATGGGGGAGTTGAGGCTCCGATTGGGGGAATTGACTCTCGAAATGTGGGATTTGACTCTCAAACTGGGGAAAAAGACTCTCAGAATTGGGGAAATGACTCTCGTAATCTGGGATTTGACTCTCAAATTGGGGGAATGGACTCCCAAAATTTGCCCCTGAAAACGTGGGCGTTCACTCTCGAAATGTGGGATTTGACTCTCAAACTGGGGGAGTTGATTCCCAAAATTTGCCCCTGAAAACGTGGGCATTCACTCTCAAAATGGGGGATTTGACTCTCAAAATTTAAGCCTGAAAATGGAGGATTTGACCTGGAAAGTTGGGAATTGGCTCTCGAAATTTGACTCCTAAAACGTGGGAATTGACTCCCAAAAGGAGGGATTTGACTCCGAAAATTTGGCTCTGAAAATGTTGGAATTGACTCTAAAATTGAGGGAATTGACCCTGAAAATGAGGGAATTCAGACCCTATAACTGAGGAATTTGACCTTAAAACTGAGATAATTTGCCCTAAAAATGCAACTTTTTCCCTTAAAACCAAGACTTTGGCCCTAAAAATGGGGATTGGGCAGGGATTTTGTCTCAAAAATGAAATTTTACACCCTAAAAATGTGATTTCTCTGGCCCCAGTAATGGATATTGGACCATGAAAATGTGGATTTTGGCCCAGAAAATGAGGAATTTCTACCCAAAAATGAGCTTTTTGACCACAAAAATGCAGATTTTGGCCTTGAAAACAAGGAATTTTGCCTCAAAAATGACCTTTTTGGCCATAAAAATGCAGATTTTGGCCTTGAAAATGAGGGATTTCTCCTCAAAAATGAACCTTTAGACCATAAAAATGTAGATTTTGGCCTTGAAAATGAGGGATTTTGCCTCAAAAATGAGTCTGTAAACCACAAAAATGCAGATTTTGGCCTTGAAAATGAGGGATTTCTCCTCAAAAATGAGCCTTTAGACCACAAAAATGCGGATTTTGGCCCAGTAAATGAAGGATTTCTCCTCCCCAGTGTGGGTTCAGCCCCTAAAAAGGTGGCCGAGGGCCATACCCAGGGCCATTCCCAGCTGGAATGTTCTGATCCCACAGGCCGGGGAGGAGGTGGAAGACGCGGAAATGGCGGAACTGCTGGAAGAGGAATCCGAGGAAAAGCCGGAAAAGGCCGGGACGAGGCCCCTGGGCCGCGTCTGCCACGGCCACGAGCGCTGCCTGCCCATCCAGCGCTCCGTGGAATCCCTGGACCTGCGCGAGGAAGGTGAGGGGGGGATGGAAAAAGATCGGGAATCTCCATGATGTCATTCCCGAGGGGGGAAAATTCCCAGTGTGAATTCTCCTCCTCCTCCTCCTCCCTGCAGGGATCGAGACCCTGCTGTGCTACCTGGAGCTGCACCCTCAGCGCTGGCTGGAGCTGCTGCTTCCCACCTATTCCCGCTGCCGCATCCGCTGCTCCGGAGGGCCCCGCCAGCTCCGGGACCTGGCGCGCAGGTGGGAAATGTGGAATTCCCGCCCCACATTCCCAGATCATCCCCATCCCAAATCCAGCGGCATTTTGTTGGTTTTCCCTCCCCCTCAGTTGTCCTCGCGTGGGCATTTTCCTGGCGGGGCGGGAGCACCGGAATTGAGGGAACTGAACCCTGAAAAGGGACTCCCAAAATCTGACCTGGAAAATGTGGGAACTCGCTCTCAAAATGTGGGATTTGATCCCGAAACTGAAGCCTGCAAAAGGAAGGGTTTAACCTGGAAAGACTGGGAATTGACTCCCAAAATTTGACCCTGAAAAGGAGGGAGTTGAGTCTCAAATCTGGGAATTGACTCCCTAAACTTGACCCAGAAAATGTGGGAATTCACTCTCAAAATGCGGGACTTTAGTCTGAAAATTTGAGCCTGAAAAGGAAGGATTTGACCCTGAAAATCTGGGAATTGACTCTCCAAATTTGACTCTGAAAATGTGGGAATCGACTCCCAAAAGGAGGGATTTGACTCCCAAAATTTGACTCTCAAAAGGAGGGATCTGACCCAGAGAATTTGGCTCTGAAAATGAAGGAATTGACTCTCAAAATGTGGGAATTGCCTCTAAAATTGAGGGATTTGACCCAGAGAATTTGACTCTCAAATTGAGGGAACTGACCCTGAAAATGAGGGAATTCAGACCCTAAAACTGAGGGATTTATTTGGCCTCAAAACTGAGATCATTTGCCCTAAAAATGCCACTTTTTCCCAAAAAACCAAGGCGTTTGACCCTAAAAATGCAGATTTTGACTGGAAAAATGAGGGATTTTTGCCTCAAAAATGAACCTTTAGACCATTAAAATGTCTATTTTGGCCCAGAAAACAAGGAATTTTGCCTCATAAATGACCTTTTCGGCCATAAAAATGCAGATTTTGGCCCAGAAAATGAGGCGTTTTGCCTCAAAAATGAGCCTTTAGACCATAAAAATGCAGATTTTGCCCACGAAAATGAGAGATTTTACCTCAAAAATGGACTTTTTGACCATAAAACTGTGGATTTTGCCCCTGAAAATGAGGGATTTCTCTTCAAAATGAGCCTTTAGACCATAAAAATGCAGATTTTGTCCCTGAAAATGAGGGATTTCGTCTCAAAAATGAGTCTGTAAACCACAAAAATGTGGATTTTGGCCTTGAAAATGAGGGATTTCTTTTCAAAAATGGGCCTTTAGACCCTGAAAATGCGGATTTTGGCCCAGAAAATGAGAGATTTTACCTCCAAAATGAGCTTTTTGACCATAAAACTGTGAATTTTGCCCCTGAAAATTAGGGTTTTCGCCTTAAAAATGAGCTTTTAGACCATAAAAATGCAGATTTTGACTTTAAAATGAGGGACTTTGCCTCAAAAATGAGCCTTTAGACCATAAAAATGTATTTTCCCACAAAAATGGGAGATTTTACCTCAAAAATGGCCTTTTTGACCATAAAAATGTAGATTTTGCCCATGAAAGTGATGGATTTTGCCTCAAAAATGAGTCTGTAAACCACAAAAATGTGGATTTTGGCCCATAAAATGAGGGATTTCTCTTCAAAAATGAGCCATTTAGACCATAAAACTGTGGATTTTGTCCATGAAAATGAGGGATTTCTCCTCCAAAACGAGCTTGTAGACCCCAAAAATCCAGCAGGATTTTCCTGGGTTTCCCCCCTTTCCCTCAGTTGTCCCCCCGTGGGTGTTTTCCTGGCTCGGGAGCGGCTGGCGGGGCGGGAGCACCGGAATTCCGGGACGGTGGAGTTGGAGGTGATGGAGCTGAGCGATTCCATGGGCTGGGAAGCGGCGCTGGTGAAGAGGCAGCTCCGGCAGATCCAGTGGGATCCACGGCAAAGGACGGGTATCCATCGGGATCGGGGTTGGGATTGGGGTTGGGATTGGGATCGGGATTGGGCTGGAGGGGCTGGTGGGATCCCCTCCGGAGTCACAGCTCTCCCTGCTCTCCAAGGGAAAAGCGGGATCCAGGTGGAATTTGAGGAATTGTCCTTCCACTTCCGCTCCTACGGCGACCTGAGCGGGGCGGAGCTGGATTCCATCTGCAGCTTCCTGCTCCGGCGCGTGCAATCCCGGGAAAAGGCGGCCCTGGGCCAGCTCCGGACCTGCTTCCGAGCATTCCAGAGGTGAGGAAAACCAGCCCCACCCCCCCCATTCCCAAGGATTCCCGCCCTGCTCCCACCTCCCTGGGAAACGGCGGGAGCTGACGATGGATTGGCAACAGCGTGGCATTCCCGACGATCCATCCGCACCCTCCGGAGGGGGAGAGGGAGCAGAGGAGCTCCCGACTCAAGGATCTGATCCAGGAATACTTCGAGAGGGATCCCCTCGGAGCCCAGGAGGGACACGAGGAGCAGGAGCAGGAGGAGGAGGAGCAGGAGCAGGAGGAGGAGTTCGGAAGTTCTCGGGTAAAGCACCAGCAGCGGCTCCGGAGCCTCCGGAATTCTGGTCTTGGCCAAGGGGCAGCGTTTGGGATGAGGGAGAGGAGGGATGTAAGCTCCGTTGGATTTGGGATAAGGAGGAGCAGGGATGAGAGCTCCGTTGGATTTGGGATGAGGAGGAGGAGGGATGTGAGTTCCTCATGGATTTGGGATGAGGAAGAGCAGGGATGAGAGCTCCGTTGGATTTGGGATGAGGAGGAGGAGGGATGTGAGTTCCTCATGGATTTGGGATGAGGAAG